ATTTTTGCCCTAAGGTATGTTTTCTTCTGTTTCCACTGTCTCCTGATCTATTTCCCATGAGGTGATGGGACCAGATGCCATGATCTTAGTTTTCTGAATGTTAAGCTTTAAGCCAACTTTTTCACTTTCCTCTTTCACTTTCATCAAGAGGCTTTTTAGTTCCTCTTCACTCTCTGCCATAAGNGTTGGCTTAAAGCTCAATATTCAAAAAACTAGGATCATGGCATCCAGTCCCATCACTTCATGGCAAACAGATGGGGAAACAGTGGAAACACAGACTCTATTTTGGGGGGTTCCAAAATTACTGCATATGATGACTGCATCCATGAAATTAAAAGATGCTTGCTCCTTAGAGGAAAAGCTATGAGCAACCTAGATAGCATATCAAAAAGCAGAGACATTACTTTGCCAACAAAGGTCTGTCTAGTCAAGGCTATGGTTTTGACAGTAGTCATGTATGGACATGAGACTTGGACTATAAATATAAAGCACCAAAGAATTGATGCTTTTGAGCAGTGGTGTTGGAGAAGACTCCTGAGAGTCCCTTGGACTGCAAGAGATCCAACCAGTCCATCCTAAAGGAGTTCAGTCCTGGGTGTTCACTGGAAGGACTGATGCTGAAGCTGAAACTCCAATACTTTGGCCACCTCATGTGAAGAGTTGACTTGTTGGAAAAGACCCTGATGCTGGAAGTGATTGGGGGCAGGAGGAGAAGGGGACAACAGAGGATGAGATGGCTGAATGGCACCACTGATTCTATGGACATGAGTTTGAATAAACTCTGGGAGTTTGTGATGGACAGGGAGGCCTGGCATGCTGCGATTCATGGGGTCACAAAGAGTTGGACACGACTGAGTGACTGAACTGAACTGAACTGAACTGATGTTTTCTTCTGCAAAGTTTTGAGTGCCTGCTCAGAATTGGTTTTGGTATTTTAAACATTAATGACTAGTTACAGAATTTAACACTATGTAAACCCATATTACTACCTGTGATTCCAGAATACTAGTGCAATATAACCTCCTTATGCTTGGTAGAGGCTTCTTAGAAATGAGTGATAGTGTTAATATGACATAAATGTTTTGAACAATTTCTAGATTTAATCTGTCTTGTTTTAAAACTTGCTATACAGATTAAAGAACTTCCCTGGTGACTCAGTGGTAAAGAATCTTCCTGGCAATGCGGGAGTCTCAGGTTTGATCCCAAGGTTGGAAAGATCCCTCAGAGAAGGAAAAGGCAACCCACTCCAGTATTCTTGCCTGGAAAATACTACAGACAGAGGACTCTAGCGGGCTATAGTCCATGGGGTCACAAAAGTGTCAAACACAATTTAGTGACTAAACAACAACATACAGATTAAAATTTCCAGATTAAAAAATAAATAGAATTGTATACAGGACCCTTGCTATTTGCAAGGCCATGACTTGAAACCTTCATGAATCCTACACATTATGACTGCTGTTAAGAATAGAACACTTAAGAAGCTTGTTTAAATAGTGTAGTCTGTGATCCAAAGTGATGTTTCTTGTTTTCCACTGGACTGCTAACATGTGCTCTAGAAATAGATACCCCTGCATATTACGTCCTGTTCATCAGAGAAATCAGAAAGCTTGATATATCAGTATCTTAAAGTAGAAGAGCTCTTCCATGATTGGTCATCAACATGCTAGACCTCTTTTTTATTTATTTATTTTTTACCTTGCATTTAAATGTTTGCAGATACTAGATTTTCTTCCCAGTATAGTCTGGCTTCATCTTATCTGATCTTTTGTTTAGACTGATAGCCCTCCTTTCCACCAAGATCACAATAAACATGAAAGAAAAGTACTATTAGAAGTGGAATAGCTTCTAAAGCCCCCTAGAGAAGGCTTCTTAGAGAAAGCAATGGTTGAGCCATACCTTCAAAAACATGCCTATTTCCTGTATCAAAATAGAGTAAAATCCAAGAATATCACAGTCCATGTGCTTTACTGGAAAGAAGGTTCTTTATGAGTCTTAAGTATGAACCTGGTACTCTAGTGTCAGGCTGCTTAGCTGCAGCTGAACACTGGAATTACTTGGAAAACTTTAACGAGGACTTATCATAGCTCTAGGGGATCTAATTTAATATTTTTGGGAGAATTCTAGGTATCAGGACTCTTAAAACCTCCCTGGTGATATTAATGAGCAGCTCAAATTAGACGCTGTATGGCTCACTCAGTTGTGGTTTTCCATCCTATAGGTGATTAGAAACACGATATCTAACTTTCTGCTAGACACATGGGCAGCATGTATCCTCGGGCATCTTTCCTGCAAGAAATTATTCCAGATTAAACCTACTCTTCCTGCTATATTCACTCATCATCTACTGAATCACATTCATTTTTGAGGAATTCATGTTTGTTCAGAAAAGTACTTGAGAAGTTATGTATATCTGGCTCCAAGTCTTTCTCTCTGAATTCTTGTCTTGACCCCATATTGTTCCTTTGTTTAAATTCCACCAGTGGTTTCTATCATCCCTGAAATAAAGTCAAAGATGTTATATCACTGAAGGCCACCTTTGTACCCCTCAAATCTCAGGTTCTGCCGCTTGCTGTGTAAACGGGCTCTAGTACTCCTGAGAAGTTAGTCATTCTCTGTGCAAACCCTGCTGTTTTATGCTCCTAAGCATTTGCCCTTCTTTTCTTCTGTCTCAACAGCTCCCCTGTCATCTGGCAAGTTCTTATTCATACATCAAGGTGCAGATCAGCCACTAACTTTTCTGGGAGTCGTTCTCTGCACCCCATGCCACAAAGCCTTTCATGCTGTGAATACATATAGCAAAGCACTTTATTACTTTGAAATCATACAATCTCATGATTTCACTTCTGCCCCCTTCTGCACTGCAAACTCTTACAAGGCATGTCTTATCCATCTCCCAGTGTATGCCCATCTCCTAGTGTAGTGTCTAATCCACTCATTTGATTATTTACTGAAATGGTACTGATTTGGAGCTTGGAAGATTAAGATGCTGCTAGTGATATGATATTTAAGATACAGAGAAGTCAGATCTAATAGTTTGGCAGCAAAAAGAAAAGAAACAAGAGATCTACTAAAGGTCAGTCTTTGAGTGGGAGCAGGTGGGGTGACTATGTAAAATCACCTGGCCTGCATGCCCTAGCTATCCCACAGGACTATGCTGTGTCTTAGGACAGTAACTGGTGTGAATAACGATGGACCCAGGTCAGTCAGAAAAGGTTAACTAGATCCCAGAGATGTTGTTTAAAAAGTAAAATGAATATTACAGTATAAATGCGTTTTAACCAACTCTGTTAAAATAAAGGATTACATGGCAATTCTGTTTGTGGGGCCAGATGCGTCTGATAATACAGATACAAAGCTATTGCCTGTGAATTTCTTCTCCAAATACACAGGTTTGGAAATAAACTCGTCCCCATTTTTGGTTGCTCATAAACTCCTAAACACCTGTAAGAAACATCTCTGTGTTTCATCTCAAGCATTCAGGGAATAAAATAGCTCAGGCAGGTGCTAAGCATTGTAGCTGCTACAGAATTACTTTGCAAATTGACTGAATAATTATTTCTAGTTTTGATCCCTCATCTGAAAAATGGAGATAATAATGAAGTTTTTACTAACTATCCAAAGGACTCCTTGTAATGAGCCAAGTTAATATATATGAAAGTTTTTTGTAAATTGTAAAGTATGTGTTAGTAAAATTAATTTGTGAATGGTTTTGCAAAACTGAATGACAGTACTCTGTCAAAGGTATCTGTGTTTTAAAAATAATGCAAAACAAGCAGTACTTCAGTGTAAATTTAAGTTAATTCAGTTTAACAATTATTTTTTTGAGCTCTTTCTTAGCAAAAGACTTTGTGGTGGCTATAGTTGAAGAAGGAAGATAAAAAAATAGGTGGATTCTATTTGAAGAGTCGGACACGGCTGAGCAGTTAAGCACAGCACATTCTCATTTGGGGAGAAGCGTGTGTGTGAAGACGCTTCAGTCGTGTCCAGCTCTTTGCCACCCCATGGACTGTAGCCTGCCAGGCAAAAATATTAGAGTGGGTTGCCATGCCCTTTTCCAGTTGGTCTTCCTGATCCAGGGAGTGAACCCACGTCTCCTCCAGCTCCTGAATTGCAGGCAGATTCTTTACCGCTAAGCCACCAGGAAAGCCCTTTGGGGATAAGATAGACACATAAATACTGAACAAAAATAAAAGGTAAAAAGTTAGATGGTGCACTTTTAAGATGCAAATGAAGAAGGCCTTTCTATTTTGAGAATCAAAGGAGAAGCTTATCAGAAATGCAGGTTTTATAAGTAGAGACGGTAATGAAAGAGCATTCCAGGCTGAGGGGCAATAGCAGATGCTAAGCATACAAGTGAAAAGAGATCTGGAAGACAGCTAAGGCCCTGGGATGGCTGGAGTGGATAAGGACAGAGGAGGTATTTACACCAGCGCCGGATTCCAGAGGGGCTTAAATGCCACTACAAGGAGCTTAAATGTTATGCCATTGAGAAGGTTGAAGCAGTCAAGTTTTTCAGCCTAAATTTGGTAGGATTATAGCAGTGTTTTAGGAGTCAATTTCCAATGAGATACTTGAGTACACTGCCATGAAGTCCAAGACTTCAAGCTCTCCATTTGTGTTTGAGTAGTCTTCCTAGGATTACTACTACCAATGTGTGTGTGTGTGTGTGTGTGTGTGTGTGTGTGTTCCTTTCTTTTTTGAATTAAAGAAAATTGTCTGTAAAATTAGCAGGAAGTCAGACTGTAAGTTTGGGCTTTCTAAAGCAAACTTGGATTCACATTCTGCCTCTAAAGTTTACTTACTGGGTGATTTTGGAAAAATCATTCAGCCTGTCCAAGTTTCCATTTCGTTGTAGGAAAATGGAAATTCTAAGACCTCAGTTGAGTCATTGTCCTAATTGAGATATCCTTCACACATTGTCTGGCATGTAGCAAGTCCTAAATTAATAGTAGCTATTATTTTTTATGATGTGAGTTAACACTGGAGTATAGAAGTGATTTTTTATAGTTATTATAAAATTTTAAATCATATTGTGGTCTGGAGAATTAGCAGAATTGCAACCAATCATTTCTTTGAAATACAATTCCTTTCTCTCCATTGCAGAGGAAAATAGGAAAATAAACATGCTGGAAGGCAGCCTCAACCACTGTGGTCCCATGTAAATGCAAATAAGCTAACCACCAGGGTTTCCACAGCAACCAAATTCTGTAAATCTGTGCTGACAACACTGGTTGCATTAGACATGCTTCCATGAAGTCGGTAAGAGCCCTCTGAATGTTACAATGACAAAAGTCCTGGTTCTTCTTTTGAATGGTGAATGTCTGCAGAAATGCCATGATGCATCCTGTGGGTACAGGAGCCCGAAGGTAGGAGTTAGAAGGCCAGTCACTGCAGAGATCAAAGGACGTGGGCTCTGTTGGATTTCACTGTGTGTGGAATCTGGGCTTCATCCTGGCAGGAAAAGAAACCAGATCTTACATCTGTATCCAGCATACTTCTAGTACTCCAACTTTTACCTGAAATTTAATATATAGACCCAAATGCAAGCCTCATACTTTCTGCAGTTCCTGATGTAACTAATGTACACATTTTGGATCAGACTCTCTCCCTCCTGATGTCAAGGCACCTGGGAAGCAGACAATCTAATGAGAAGGTTGCATGTTCATTTAAAGCCAAGGGAAGTGGCTTGTCTAAAAATGTATTTCATTCCGGGGGCCGAGGCAGGTAAAATATACCTGCTGAGAGCAGCACGTCTCTCTCTGGAGGCAACAAAGTCCATCACCCTCAGATCTGTGATCTCCACCCCGCCTGCACGTGTCACGCACATTCTCTATGTTCTGTCACTAAGCATGCCCTTCCTAATGTGCTTTTTTTCTCTTTGTACTTAGTCACTCCATCATGGAGCGTAGCCCATCAGGCTCCTCTGTCCATGAGGATTCTCCAGGCAAGAATACTTAACTGTGTTCATTTCACTCTTTCAGCTATGTAGAGAAGGGAAAGTTTTCATCAGTCCTCTTAAGGCCACTGCTGGGTCTGAAAATTAAACTGACAAAGACAAATAAACAAGAGAAAAACATACCAACTTAATATACATTTTGCTTGACATAGAAGTCTGTCTGAGGAAATAAAGACCGAAAGAAACAGTTTGTTGTTGTTGTTTAGTTGCTAAGTCATGTCCAACTGTTTTACAACCCCATAGAAGGCTACCCAGCAGGCTCCTCTGTCCAGTGGATTTCCCAGGCAAGAATACTGGAACAGGTTGCCTTTTCCTCCTCCAGACCTTCTTCCTCACTCAGGGATCAAACCCGCATCTCTTCACTGGCAGGTGGGTTCTTTACCACTAAGGCCACCTGGGAAGCCCTACCTACTACATTGATTAGTAAAATGCTTTCCCCATATCATTTCTGGGCCCCTAAACCTCCCTACACCCCTGGTGGCTCAGAGGTTAAAGCGTCTGCCTGGAATGCCGGAGACCCAGGTTCGATCCCTGAGTTGGGAAGATCCCCTGGAGAAGGAAATGGCAACCCACTCCAGTACTCTTGCCTGGAGAATCCCATGGAGGGAGGAGCCTGGTAGGCTACAGTCCACGGGGTCCCAAAGAGTCGGACACAACTGAGCGACTTCACTTTCACACCTCTGCAACCCAGGAGCCTCTTCAGGATCCTGCCGCAGCCTGTGCCCTTTCCATTTGGTTAGTGCTTTTTAGTTAGTAGTTTTCATTATTTTATGTATTACTTTAGGTATTAGTTATCAAATATTTTGTGTATTACTTTAGAGATTAGCAGTAAACACATTAATTTCACATTCTGGAAGAAGCTTTTCTTCTTTTGTCTGACAGTTATTGAGAAGCACCCCGGTGCATTGTCTCCAAATGGTTATATGGGGGTAATAAAGGGGACAAGATTGTAAAATGATTCTAAAACCTCATCTGTGAACAACCCTGTTCTCAAACCAGTCTAGACAGAAACAAAATATCCTTGCATTGAGAACAGAATCCTCCAGTGCATAAGGAGCACTTTCCTCCCTTGTGTAACCTAAATCCTCTCTGCTTTCTCCTTTATCTCATCCTCAGTGACTCAAAATGCCCTTTAAACTAAATAGCGTCTTCTCAAAGCAAAGTATGGAATGTTTAAAATCCTAAAGAAATAAAATATTGAGTGAACTGCACATACTTTTAACTCACTACACTCTTTTTGTTATTGGGTTCATGAGAAACTGATTAATCTTTATTTTTCTTTTTTGAGTACAGCATTTCTTTTAGTTGAAACTTCAAAACATTATTTATACTTTAGATAGTGATTATGAGAGACTCAGTTGTATGCTTCTCCGTGACACATCTCATAATCTGTTAGGGCAAACAATTTCCAAGTTCTGCTGAAGCTAATTGCCTTTATAGATCAAATTGTTAAAGTTGAGTTATAGTTTAATTATGTGGAATGGGAATGCCTGCCTGTCTGCTCTGTATAGTTTTATTCTGTTGTGAATGAATGGATCTGAATGAACTATTCTTTGTAGAGATTTTTTGGCATTTTGTGTGTCTGCCTTAGGATAGCTCTTACTCACTGAGTTGTATGAATATGTTTGCATCAGAAACCTCTGAAAGTGAAAACAGAGGTTTAAAATCCATTTAGAATGATGTCATTGAAGATCTCAATGAAACATCAAACCAAGCCCAAGCATTTATGGAATTTGAACCTAGGTTTTCCCCTCCTTTGTCTGATATTTAGAGTGAGGATTCAGTTAGTCTAGACAGTGACTGCTGGGTCAACAGCTGTCTTTAAATTATAAACTCTGAATGTATTCGAGAGGCTTAGAGGATAATGGTATGATCTGGCCACCAAAGGCACAAAGACTTCAGGAATGTTTGAGATTCAGAGAAGGAAACCAGAATTCAGTGTTAGTTGATCAAAAGCTTATAACAGTTTTATTGTACTACGGGGAGTGCAAAACATGAGTCTGGAAAACTGGTTTCTTGGATGCACAAAAAGGTAAATGAAAATGATTGCATTTTGTCAGACTATAGGAATGGTGGGGTGGAGGACTGAAAGACTAATACCAGAGCCAAAAGAGAAAACTAAGATGAACTCAGTCAAAGTGCCATTTACTAAATGTGGATTACGCGTCTTTTTAAAGAAGAGTCAGTACTTTCAACTTCTATATGCCTTTACAAAAGTGAAATAATTCAAAAATGAAAAAAAAAACCAATACTAGTGTTTTTATTAAGGATAGTAAAACTCGTAAAAGTTAGCTAATATAGAAATAATGATCTACCTACTCTGAAGATATTATGACTTTTGTAAAGAAAGAAAAATATTTACATTATCAAAATAGTGTTTGTGTAGTAAGGAATACACATTATACTAGGGCCTAGTATGAACGTGTGTATTCACACACATACAAAACTTTTGTAAATTATGTTTTTCTTTACTGTGTGTGATGCATTTGATATCTTCTATTAAAACAAAGCTGCTTATAAAAAAAAAAGAAAAAAAATAAGTAAAACAAAGCTGCTTATAATCCACTAAAGAGATTTCATGATATTTTTAATGGGTTGCATTGGAATTATGGCTGTCCTTGGTCTTTTGGAACCCTTGAGGATGCAAAGCTGCCAGTAATTCCTGTTTATCATGGTGACAATCCCATTAGTTCCTTTAAGAAGCTATATCTAGGCCCATGCAGAGACTGTTAATTGCAACTCCCATCCAGCCTATTGGCTTGATACATTTCACTACAAGTCATAAATGAATTTTTTAAGGTAAGTTCACACAGTTCTAGGACTTCTTGCTCTAGGGATTTTACACTGATCTTTTTTTTTTTTTTTTTCCGTTAGTGTGGAAGCTAGTGAGAATTAGCCCCACAACTTAGTTAAAGCAAGGCTGATTTGTAAATCAGGGTGTCCTCAGGAGCTGACAATGCTAAGCTGGTTGTACAATATCTGTCCTATCCAGGGGGCTCAGGCTGACTTATAAAGAAATCCCTGGGTTTCAAGTACAAGTGGGTACCTCAGTAGAGACAGGATCCTGATAGCACCATCAAGGACAGAGCTTAAGTGCCTAGTAGTTAGAAGACATCATAGAGCCGCAAAAGGCCAAGTTCAAGGTGAAGGAGTTTAATAAACAGTTTGACGGACAAGTGAGGCATGTTTCCTTAGGGCTGTTATGACATCACAGAATGTGCAACGGAATAGCTACTGCATAGACACAGCTCCTCAGTGGTGGAGGTGGCACAGACTTCCACCTGAGACTTCCACCTGAGACTTCCACTGTTTGTTTCTTAATAGCTTTGGTCCTCAGGCTTAGTGCCTTGAGGACCAATGATAGGCAGGTTCTCTATCCAGAAGTCTTTGATTGCTGGGTTTGATTTAAAAAATTTTTTTTCTCTGTCTGTATTTGGATTTTACTAAGGTGTCAGTAAAGTGTCTGCCTACAATGCAGGAGACCCGGATTCAATCCCTGGGTTGGGAAGATCTCCTGGAGAAGGAAATAGCAACCCACTCCAGTATTCTTGCCTGGAGAATCCCATGGATGGAGAATCCTGGTAGGCTACAGTCCGTGGGGTCGCTAAGAGTCGGACATGACTGAGCAACTTCACTTTCACTTTCAAGGTGTCTGGGGACTCTGGGGACTGTATGAGTCTGGCATTCTGACCCTCAGTGGAATGATGGCCCTTGGGATTGGGATAATGACTCTGATGATGGGAATCCTGGCATCATCCTTCTTTCCCACAGGCACCTTGCTGGACCAGCATGGTGGGTTATCCTGGTGAAATGTCCAGGCCGGCAAAGTGTGTGCTTGTGTTTGCTGCACCTCCAGTTTTAACTCTTCAGGATCTATTTCTGTATTCCTTCTAGAGATTTAATTAGGGATATCTCTGAATTTGGAGAAGGAAATGGCAACCCACTCCAGTATTTGCCACCTGGAAAACGCCAAGGACAGAGGAGCCTGGAGTCTATGGGGTTGCAAAAGCGTCAGACACAACTTAGCAACTAAACAAACAAATCTGTGAATTAGAATGCAAAATCAGGTCGGGAATGAGGTTTACTGTTTTGATTTTTTTGAGATAGAAGACAGAATGATTTTAAAAAAAAAGGCACAAAGGAAAGTTCAGGTTTTCAGGGAGTTTGAGGGTCACTGGATTAATGGTATTAGAGTTAGAAAATGACCTGATAAGGATAAATGCACTTCAACCCAGTTTAGTTTAAGGTTCAGTCACTCTGATTTTACTGTTCTCTGTGTTAACTGCCTGTACTCACTTCTCTGTGACTTTTAAAATACTGTTCCTTCTGCTTGGAAAGCCCTTCTTCGCCATCCAGCAGGGAATCACTACTGGTCTGGGGAAAGCTGTGTATTATGTATGATAAATTACCTATATACAGTTCTGTCTTTTTATACCAAGTTTCCCTGAAAATGATATTTGCAGGTATATGGTGTTTACAGTGTGGCAGGCCCTGCAGTTTGTAACTACTAACTCATTTGATCCTTACAACAGTCTGCTTATGGAGGCGTGATTTTTACTTTGCAGAGAAGGAAGCCGCAGGGGAGGGGTAAGTGACTTGCTCAGGGTTCCAGCGCTGGGATTGTAACTAGGCAGTGCGGCTCTAGTATCTATCTGTTTAACCACGATGCTGTGCTCCCTCTCAGGTTAGAAACTGTGTCTTGTGTAACTCTGAGGCCTCAGTGTTAAGTGCTGCATCTTCTTTATAGAAGACAAAAATTAATGATGCTGGATGAAGTTAATCCTTGTTAGGGTATCTCTCATCTGGACCCAAAGTTCAGGATTTCATTTTTTAATTGGAGGAAAATTGCTTTTCAATGTTGTGTTGGTTTCTGCTGTACAATAATGCAAATAAGCCATAATTATACACATATCATCTCCCTCTTGAGCCTCCCTCCCCTCCCTGCACCCCACCCCTCTCTGTCATCACACAAGCCAAGCTGGGCTTCCTGTGTTATATGGCAACTTCTAATCAGCTATCTGTTTGACACATGCTAGTGTATATATGTTGATGCTGCTTTCTCCATTTGTCCCACTCTTTCCTTCCCCCACTGTGTCTACAACTCTGTTCTCTATATCTGCATCTCCATTCCTTCTCTGCAAATAGGTTCATCAATACCATTTTCTAGGTTCCATATGTATGCAAACTTCAGGGTTGATAAGGGAGGTTTTAAAGGTTAGTTTGAGAAGCCTTGGAGTAAAGTTGTTGTTCAGCCCAAGAAGTGGGGGGAAGTTTTAGAAGTAAAGTAAGAGACTATCCTGAATGTAAAGTGAGATGTGGTGTTGAAATAGGAAAAAAAAAATGTATGGTAGAGAACTGTGTACCCGAGATGTCCAGTTGGATAGGAACAGGGTAGTTGTAGTTTGAGGAACGGAAGTGGTTATAAAAAGTGTTCTGTGCTTTGATTTGTTCTTTTGGTATTCTAGTTAATTTGTGAGTGGTGGTATAAGGAATAATTAACTTCTCTCTAAAGGATAAGAAGGAGGGTACAAAACAAAATTTGCCTTAATGAGGTTAGATATTGTCTAAGAAAACACTGTAACAGAACAAGTCCCCTTGATAGTTATTTGTTCCTTAAAAGGGAAATGGCCCATTTATGACAATGTATATGCATTGCAGCCATGAAATGAAAAGACATTTACTCCTTGGAAGGAAAGTCATGACCAACCTAGACAGCGTATTAAAAAGCAGAGACATTACTTTGTCAACAAAGGTCCGTCTACTCAAGGCTATGGTTTTTCCAGTAGTCGTGTATGGATGTGAGAGTTAGACTATAAAGAAAGCTGAGCACCAAAGAATTGATGCTTTTGAACTGTGGTGTTGGAGAAGACTCTTGAGAGTCCCTTGGACTGCAGGGGATCCAACTAGTCCATCCTAAAGGAGATCAGTCCTGAGTGTTCATTGGAAGGACTGATGCTGAAGCTGAAACTCCCATATTTTGGCCACCTGATGTGAAGAGCTGACTCACTGGAAAAGACCCTGATGCTGGGAAAGATTGAGGGCAGGAGGAGAAGGGGATGGCAGAGGATGAGACGGTTGGATGGCATCACCAACTCAATGGACATGGGTTTGGGGAAACTCCGGAAGTTGGTGATGGAGAGGGAGGCCTGGTGTGCTGCAGTCCATGGGGCCACAAAGAGTCGGACATGACTGAGTGACTGAACTGAACTGACTGATATGCACTGGAAATATTGTTGTCAGTTGCTAGTAGAGCACTAGCTCTTTGATGAAATCATCGATGATCACAGGTTGAGAAAAAGAAGGCAAAGATTTGTGGTTTACAAGTGTGATCACTGGCTCCACAATAGATTTTACATAAGACCTCAGATTCCAAACAACCAGAATTCAAGAATAAACAGGTAGAAGATGTTATGTTGTCATAATGATCAGCTGTTATCTTTCTTGACAGCCTTACATAATCTTAGTTCAGACATAACTAATGGGCAGCATTTTACTAAGTAGAGGGAGAGTCCTGGGCCATGAAATACCTTCTTTGTTGCCTACCTAATTAGCATTGTTTTTGACTGATCAAGTTGTTTCGTGATCCTGTTCTCCATGAAGAGGCCTTATCTTTGTGTCTGGGGTATTAGGAAGAGGTAAGAATTTCCTCTGAGAATGTTACTAATTTAGGATCCAGAAAGAAAGTTACCAATATTTTTCAGAACATTGTTCTCTTTTTTAGTCACAGCTGTGCAGCATGCGAAATATTAGTTCCTTCACCAGGGATCAAACTTGTGCCCCCTGTATTAGGGGTGCAGAGTCTTAACCAATGAACTGCCAGGGAAGTCCATAAAACATTGTTTTTCTTGATGTCTTACTTTCTGCTAAGATACAACTATCCTCTGAAACGCTGAGGCAAAAATCATGATCCAAGACCATATTCTTAACTCACTAATTTTCCAATTGTTCCTTATTTCAAATATTTATTAAATATTCAGGCATACAGGGGCTTCCCCAGTGTTTAAATGAAGAATCCACATGAAAATGCAGGAGATTCAAGAGACCCAGGTTTGATCCCTGGATGCGGAAGATCCCCTGGAGGGAGGCATGGCAACCCACTCCAGTATTCTTGCCTGGGGAAACTCATGGACAGAGGAGCCCAGTTAGCTACAATCCACAGTATTGCAAACACTGAAGCAATTTAGACTCAAGCATACAGAAGTGATTCATACTTATTGAAGCTGTTTTTATAACCAATAGCAATTGATATTGGTTTGCATTATATATATCTTAGGACAGTGTTAATACCTTGTAACAGTGTCAATAAATAAACCATGTTATAATAAAGACTTAAGGATAACTGTAACCTTAAACTTAATTAAACTTAAGTATAAAGGGAAATGGGCTCACTGTGCAGGGGACCCCAGTTTGATCCCTGGGTTGGGAAGATCCCCTGGAGGAGGGCATGGCAAACCACTCCACTGTTTTCTCCTGGAGAATCTCATGGAAAGAAGAGCCTGGAGGGCTGCAGTCCACAGGATTGCAAATAGTCAGACATGACTGAGCAATTAACAATTTCACACTTTCACACGTGAAGGGAAATAATGATATACTTTCTGACTGAAGTAATTTAAGTGAGAATTTACTTCAGAATGATAACTCTATATTCAGTTCAGTTCAGTTGCTCAGTCGTGTCTAACTCTTTACTACCCCATGAACCGCAGCATGCCAGTCCTCCCTGTCCATCACCAACTGCTGGGGTCTACCCAAACCCAATGTCCATTGAGTCGGTGATGCCATCCAACCATCTCATCCTCTGTCCTCCCCTTCTCCTGCCCTCAATCTTGCTCAGCATCAGGGTCTTTTCCAATGAGTCAGCTCTTCACATCAAGTGGCCAAAGTATCAGAGTTTCAGCTTCAACATCCGTCCTTCCAATGAACACCCAGGACTGATCTCCTTTAGGATGGACTGGTTGGATCTCCTTGNTTTAGAATTTTCCACAGTTTATTGTGATCCACATAGTCCAAGGCTTTGGCATAGTCAATAAAGCAGAAATAGATGTTTTTCTAAAACTCTCTTGCTTTTCCGATGATCCAGTGGATGTTGGCAATTTGATCTCTGGTTCTTCTGCCTTTTCTAAAACCAGCTTGAACATCTGGAATTTCACAGTTCATGTATTGCTGAAGCCTGGCTTGTA